TGCAGCGGTCAGGAGGGGAGGGGAGGGGAGGGGAGGGGAGGGGAGGGGAGGGGAAGGTGGGGAGGGGCTGCTGGCTGCTGATTGGCTCCCCGCTGGGAGCTAAGTCAGCAGCGGAAATCACTGCTTCCAAGTTCACTGGTGGTGGGAGCAGGGGCAGGGGCTGCCTGGGGTCAAGGGGCTCTGTTTACAAATGCTAATGCTCACGAATCTGAAATCCTGTCTGGGCCCAAGGCCTTCACAGGTAAACTCGGTCCCGGTCTTCTGGAACGTCCCATTTGGCTCATTCGTCTCCTTCCCACCAGGGAGAAGTTCTTGGAGAAGGTTCAAGGCCCGGAGGCAACTCAGCCCACACCGCCTTTAAACTCGCTCAGCCCCACGTGGCTGCACGGTCCGTGGTGGTCACGTGTCCGGATCTGGCCACGAGCCCCAACCTGCCTCCGCTCGGGTCGGCGCGCCTGGCAGGTCGCCCCGGCTGGGTCCCGCATCGGCCCCCAGGGGCCCGAGTCAGAACCCCGCAGAGAGTTCTTGCTCCGCCGTGGAGGGCGACATTGAGCTGGTCCTCTCCAGCCTCTCCGCGGAGAGGAAGGGGAGCCATTTGGCCAGGCGCGTGGCCAGGACCCCGTGGAACAGCTGGCGCAGGTACCTGCGGAACCTCTCTCCCACGAAGGCGTAGATGACGGGGTTGACGCAGCAGTGCGTGTAGGCGATCACCTCCGTCACCTGCATGGCCACGTCCAGCTGTTTGCTCTGCCGACACTCGTCGGTGAAAAGGGTGTCTTGGAAAGCAGAGACCAGCATGGCCAGGTTGTAAGGGGTCCAGAAGAGAAAGAAGACGATCATGATGACGAAAATCAGGCGGACGGCTTTGGCCTTCTTCTCGTTGGGTCGCCTGAGCAGAATCCTTACGATCTCGGTGTAGCAGACGATCATGACCAGCAGAGGCAACACCAGCCCCAACGTGTTCAGCTTCAGAGCCTGGAACCGTTTCCAGGCTTTTAGGTTTTCGTGAGGGAAGTGGAGGCTGCAGGTGATATGGGAGAACTCCCGCTGGGTCTTGGAAAAGTAGAAGCCCGGGACGGAGGCCGAGACGGCCAGGCTCCAGGCCGCGGCGCTGCTGAGGACGCCGAAGAGGACGGTGCGAACCCGCAGGGCGAACACGGCGTGCACGATGGCCAGGTACCTGTCCACCGTCAGCAGGATGATGAAAAAGATCTCGCTGTACAAGCCTATGTAATAAAGCCCCGAGAGCAGCTTGCAGGTGCCGTCGCTGAAAATCCAGTCATCCTTCAGCTTGTAGTCAATCCAGAAGGGCAGCGTGAAGAGGAAAAGCAGGTCAGAGATGGCCAGGTTGAGGAGGTAGATGCTGGTCATACTCTTGAGCCTCTTGTACTGCATCAGGACCAAGAGCACCAGGACGTTGCCCACCAGGCCGACGACGAACACCAGCGAGTACAAGGGGGACAGCAGCTGGGCCCCGAAGGCCCTCTCCTCCCCCTTCTGGCACGGGGTTATGCCCTCATAGTCATATTCTGTCGTCACGTCAAAGTTCTCTGTCGGGACTGTGATTTCCGTGCTGGCCTCTGTCATCCTGGAGCGAGTCTCTGTTTTCTTTGCCGTCAGAGGGTGGCGGGCCCTGGACAAGAAAGACGAGGCAGGGATGATTAGAAGCCTTCAACCACCTGACAGCTGGTTTACTGAGTGCCTACTGTGTACCAGACCCCGGGACACAGCACGGAGTAAGGGGGACCCGGGTCGACTCTGCCCTGGTGGAACCTGGAGCCTCACGGGGTCGGGGCGGGGGGTGGGGGGTGGGTAGGCAGTAAATAAATGAGCGCACGAGTGGTTCATTCCATCGCTTTGACGGTAAGTGTCGTGCAGGAAGAGTCTGGTGGCCGGAGACAGAGCGCAGACGGAGGGAGGTCTCGCCCCACTGCTCCTAACCGATGCTTCCCGCGGTCTTGGCGTTGGACTCCGTGCTAGGCAACCCCTCGCCCCCAAGCAGGTGCCGCTATTGTCCCCCTGTCTGGAGGTGATGATGCGGACGTTCAAAGTGGGAAGGACACGTATTTATGAGAACGAACGGTGGAGTTCAAACTCGGGCATGAGTGGCTCTCACGCCCATTCCTGAAGTCACTGGGGCTCCTGCCTCCAATCTCAGAGCAATGATTTTGCGCCTTGGGGTCCCCAGAAGGATGCTGAGAGTCCAAAACTTACAGAGGGATTTTCATGGCTCCGGAGGCCTAAAAGGTTCTTAGTCAGGGGTGACATAGCGCCCCGGGGGCACATGAAAATGTGTGGCCTTTTTTTTTTTTTTTCCCGGGGGGGGGGGGGGGGGGGGGCCCCGGAGACGAGGGATGCTGCTGTCTCGCCATTCGTTAGGCAGGGCCAAGGATGTCCTGCCACGCAAAAATTATCCTACCCACAGCGCTGCCATAGTGAAATTCTAGAAGGCCAGCTCCATCCCTTAGTGGATGAGGACGCAGAGTGGGTCAGCCTGGCTCATGTCATACAGCCCAGATGTGGCACAGGTGGGTCTACAGGCAACTGTGAGAGCCGTGGGAAGATTCAGAGGAAAGTACAGTCTGGCTCTTAGATATTTGCACCCAGGGTTGTCTTGAAACAAACAAAAACACAGAACAGCCACTGGATCGCTTGCCTTCGTGGGACTTCCCCCAGTTCCTGATGGTCAGCAGGCTCTTTCAGTCTGTTCCAATCCCTTCCTGAAGACACTTCCCCAAAGGGAGCATGGACGGGCTTTGGCGTAACCTACCGGCTGTGTGACTTGGGATAAGTTAATCTACCTCTCTGAGCCTTAGGTTCTCCTCTGTACTGTGGGAAAGTAGCACCTACCTCGCAGGGCTGCTGTAAGGTAATGCATGCATGAGAAAAGCGACACCTCGGTATTTTTCGGGCCCTCGGTAAATATTGGGGTTCCTCCTTCCCTGCACCGGCCCCTCTCTGAGGCCAGACCCAGGCTGGCCTCAGTCAAGTAGCCGGTGCCCACATCACCACTCCCATCCTGAATCTGGAGTCTCTAGTCTTCTAAATTGCTTAGCGAATGTTTCCAGCTTACAAAATTCACATTTGTGCAGCGGCCGTTGGAAAATAAGGCACACGGACAGGGCAGGGGGCTGCCCGGCATCCTGGCTGGGGAGCTGTCATTTCCTGTCAAACCCGTCCCTGTGGCTCACTCGTCCGGCTCTGGACTTGCCTATACCCGACCGGCTCTCCTTCTGGAGGGACCCAGGCTGGCGGTCACTAACCAGGCTGTGTGGGCAATTTCTGACTTCTGCTGCCACTGCCAGTACGGGCAGGTGGGCTTGGCAGACGGCACTTTTGGGTAGGCCGGCAGATTTACGGCGGAAGCGACCAGAAGCTTGGCAGCGCAAGGAGCCGCTGCTGCAAGCCTGAGCCCATGAGCCCGGGGGTCCTGGGGAATTGGGGCGAGGATGAGGGCAAACCGAGTCAGCATTGCCCCCGGGCCATTTGGACAGAGACCCGCCTTCGCCACCACGCCCTCCAACTTCGTTGGGTATTTTCCCAACTTGCCAGGCGCCAGGCAACAATCCGCAAGCAAGTCCGGGAGAGGGATGGGGTGGGGGTGGGGAGGAAGGGGCCTTGCAGGGAGACAGAAGGCCCGTGGTGCAACTGAGGCCGGCAAGACCTCAGCCCCGAGGTGATCAGCAGGATCCTCTAGCCTGGGGGCTGGTGAGGGCTTTGAGTAGAGAAAGGGCAGTCTGTGGGGCTAAGACGCCCAAGCCTGGTAGCATGCTGGGGCTGGCTTACGCGGGTTCGTAAAAACCGATCGTGCCCACCTCTCCCCAGCTCGGCATTCAGGGGTTTGGTAGCTTTGAAATCAACCACAGCGGGGATATCGATGCCACAGAAATCCACAAACACTAGAAATCAGGGCTCTTTTTTTCCCATGAGGGCCAGTGGCGAAACCTTTACCGGCCCTTCACCGCCCACAGGCTGAATAGTCTAGAGCTGTCCCCCCCAGTCGGAGTGGGGACTCAAGCGTCAGTGAGTAGTAGGCCGCCTGGCTGACAAGCTATGCAAACTTCTGAGAGCTTCTAACTCGGAAAATCGGGGCACTCCAGATTCTTCTATGAAGGAACAGTTGAAATAGACACCTCCAAGTAGCCCCCACCCCACCCCTCCCATGCCCCCCCCCCCTTCGGAACACAGTCTGACCTGCCTCTTTGTTAGTAGAACGGAATGGATGCATCCCAAGAGGACATCTCCCTGTCTCCGGGAGGGTAAAATCCTACCTCCTCCAGAGACAAATCAGCAGTCCTGACCGTGAGGCTCCTTGGTTCTAGTCTTCTCAAGAAATTGGTCACTAGCACCTGCAGTGTTTTTTGTAATTAATATGTCCCTTTTGCTACAACTTCTTCATATACCATGTTTGGGTTTTGTTTACATAGGGAAATTTGGCAAGTGATTTCCTCCTGAATAGTTTTTCCGCAGAGAGCCTCCTGTTTCTTAACAGACTTTAGAAAGGCTGATTTTCTCAATCGGTTACCAACAACCAATCATTCAAGAAAGGCTTTCCTTTTTTAGCAAGAAAACCCCTGTTTTACATCTGAGCCCACAGTCTCATAAATTCACCCCTTGTCAGTATTGCTATATAATTAATTGCCTTGTAGATGCATCTAGGGGCTGATGAGACATTCGCTTGGCCCTCGAAGAATTCCTCACCTTTCAGGAATGTCCTACGGTGCGAGGACGACAGTCCTGGCTGCATATGTGTCTTCTAACAGTGGTAACTGGCAAGACAGAAAAAAAAACAAGTACCACTTACTCTGGTCTCCGGGGTTTTGTCCACGAAGTCTTTGTTTCTGGAGCTTTTCGAATTTTGATGAACTCAAGGCTCAACGTCCTGATTGAACAGGAAGTCCTCAGCTTCCTGTGTGATGATTTAGGACTCCAGGGTTCACAGTCTTTCAGAATGACGAGAAGGGGACAGAGTTCTTCCTTTTGTATGGTCGGGTGTCCACGAGTGGCCGCGACACGCGCTAGTGGCCGGTTCCTCAAGGCTGGGCTCACTCTAAGGATTTTCTCTGCTCACGTGGCTGTGCATCTCCCTAGGGAGCTCTGCCTTAAGGGGATTGGGTAGGGTAGGGTTGGGTGGAGTTGAGTGGGGAGAGGTAGTATGGGCTGTTCCCAGAATTTGTGAAGCAATCAAAGGCTGAGATCGTGTGTGTGTGTGTGTGTGTGTGTGTGTGTGTGTATTGAGGGGTGGTGAGGGAGGGCAGGGCATAGAGGGTTTGTGGTCAGTGACTAGCCTTTTTTTTTTTTTTTTAGAGTTTGCAAATGGAAGGATTTAAACCCCAATGCTGGATCCTGGTTCTCCAAATGAACTGGCTGATAGCGCGAGAGACGTGACAGGTCCTCTTTGGCGCCCCCTGTGTCCTCCATCTCTGTTTGCTGTCCCTTTCTGCTCCCGGTCTCCACCCCTACAGACCCCACTGAACAGTTTCATCTCAAGGAATGAATCAGATTCATCTCAAGGAACCTCCAGCCCGAAGTGAGTACAGGTCTGTAGGCCATTTCTTTCTGATCGCAGGTTCCTGTTTAATGCGATGGTCCAACCGAGGCTGCGGCCAAATCCCAGCTCTCCCCTGACACAAGGGCGGGTAACCACGCCTTGACAAGTCTTGGCTCCCACTCCGTCGCATGAGATCGCCAAGCACTCTTGCCTGCCGCAGGATGCACAAGGTCAGCTTGGAGGTGAAAAGTGTCACAGAGCACCTGGCCTAAGGAGGAGTGATGAAGGATGCTTCCCACGACTCTCCCCACAGCCGCCAGCACCTGCTCTGCCACTGCGCTGGCTTCCCCCCTGCCCGCCACTCTGGGCTCCACTCCTTTTCTGTAAAAGGGGACTCTAGTGGCCTTCACAGGATTGCTACAAAGCACCATTTCAGAAATGAATGCGACTGTGATTTGCAAATGTCACTTGTCCCTTCAAGGCTCTGTTTCTTCATCTGTAGAATGAAGACTTTAGACAAGGTGCCCCGTGTGCCCTTCAAAGGAACACTCCAGGAGTCTTCTGGGGTCGGGCCTCCCCTCTCCGGCAGCCCGTCCACAGACAGATGGGGGAAGAGGGAGGCAAAAGGCAACGAAGCTGACAGAGAGGTGACTTTGGGTGTATTATTTATGCGTTCGATTGTCTCTTTCCTCTTCCGTAAAACGAGGCTAATTATTCCCACTTTATAGAAGGTTAAATGAATACATGCATGTGCATGAATGATTTGGTGCTGAGCTTGGCAAGCATTACCAACGCCTGCCTTAATTTGGGTTTCCCTTTTAGGTGCAAACCCTGGAACGGAACGCAGATGCAAGTAGTGTATTTGCAGCGGATCCCAGGAGACACTGCAGGGGAGGGGAAAGGGGGCCAGGAAAGGGAGCATTATAGAGACTCTCCTGCAGAAGGTAAGTGGCACCCAGGCCCCCTGGGGGACCCAGGGAGCCCCTCAGAGTCACCCCAACTGTGGGGCCAGAGGGTTGAGGAAACCGGGCACGTATCCATCACATCTCTGCCTGCCCGCCACTGGCTGAGGGCCGCTCCTCTCTGGCTTTTGTTGCTGGATATCATCCCCAGGAGATTCTTCTCCACCAGCGCACAGGGCTGGGCATTTAGGCAGTGTCCATGGCCCTAGATGTAGTGGGAATAGACAGGAGTGTCAAGAAGGTGCACACCACGGTCTTCTAACCTTGACTTTGCCTCGGCCTCTGTTTCCTTAATGGGGCGCCCCCTGCAGCGTCAACCCCCGATCTGGCCTGCTGACCCTCCTCCTTCATGTCCCTTGCTGTCCCTTCTCATCCGCGACATCTGATGCTGACGCAGCCGTTCCCACTTCTCCTTTCCTGTCTCAACCTCAACATCCCGAAATCTTATGTTCTGTTTGACCGGGACGCGGTAAGGCCAGGCTCCTTGCCTTCGTGGAGCCTGCGCGTCATTGAGGTACGCCTTTCAGGTTCAAGTGCTACAACTGTAGGTGAATTTCTGGGGGAGGGGAGGGGTTGGCAGTGCTCTCTCTGCCACCCAGTCCCGGGCCACGCTGTCTGCCTACTTGGCAAAAGAGATTGCTTCCGACCCCGGGACCCTCTGGGGACACCAAAGACAGATTGGTGGGCGTCTCACAGATGGACACGAGGGCCTTTGGGGGACACTGGGGGCCCCTAGGCAGTAGCCTACCCTTGCCCCCTCCACACCACTGCCTTTTATCCCCACCTCGTCTAATCTCCTTCCCTAGCCTCTCTCTCCACCACCCCTTCTTCCCCAGGCAGTCTTTTCTCCTCCTTAATCTCCACCTCTGCTCTCACGCCTGGTAGCTCCCAGGCTGTCTTGCCCCACAACGTGCTGCCAACCCAGCCTGGCAAACCAGAGGAAGTAGGTCCAGTAATCTGTCCCCTGCATTCTGCCCAGCTGCCCTCTTGTGCTGGGTCATGTCCCGTCGTGAATGAGGATGTTGGGCACGACCATGACCCAGGACAGACGAGAAGCCACCCTGCCTGGATCACCCAAGAGGCCACCTCCTCCCTGCAGCCCTTCCCACTCCACTCTCTGCAGCCAGAAATCATCCGGGAGAGGCAGGTGCGGGGGCTCTGAGGGGCTCATGGGTTTTTTTGTTTTGTTTTGTTTTGCTTTGTTTTGTGTTTTGCAGGGGTGGGGCTCGGGCGTGAGCAAAAGCTGCGGAGCGTCTTAAGGGCTGGCCTCAGAAGTCACCTCGTGTCACCTCTGCGAGCCCAGCCACAGCCAAGGAGTCGGGAGATAGGACACGTTGGTTTAGTTGGAGTGGTGCAGTCATGCTGTGGAAGGCCGTGTGCCCCAGGATGGGGTGGGGGGGGGACCTTGAAACTGTATTTTACCCTCCACCGAAGTACAGGTCTCCTCCAGTCTCTGGCCAAGGGCTTCCTTGAACCCTCTCCCCCATGGCCATATCTTCCGTGCTCCTCGGCCACTCGCGCCCATGACCCTAACTCCCGGATCTCGCCGTCAGGGCATCCGTGGCCCCTCATACCTTGGCTCCCGGCACCCCAGCCTCTGACCCCACTCCCACCTCTCCTCCCTCCTGTCATTCGGCACCAACAGGTCCTTGACCCCAGTGGGGCTGTGGGTATGTCAATTTTCTATGGACCGTCAGCCTCTTTATACTGCCCACCAGCCTGACCCCACGGGCCATTGCTCCGGTCTCCGTCCCCCACCCCCTTACCTCCACCCTCAGCTCTCAGGCTCTTTTCTGACCTCGTGGTGTCCACCCAGCAAAATCCGGCCTCGGGCACAGCCAGCCCCACGCCCGCACCCACGAAGTTGAATGCGGCTGGAGGAAACCCCGCAGGCGTCCTGCGAGAACTGAGTTGTAACCCACCGTTGGAAGGCGGGGAGGAACGAAGAGGCGATAACAACCCTTCAGACCTCAGATCTGAGCCGTGGACAGTTAGGCGTGCGGACCTTTCCCCTCCTCCTTCTAGTCCCAGAGCCGAATCCGGGGACTGGCTCGGGCTGGCTCCTCCCTCCCACCGCATTCACCACACGTCCACGAAGTGCCCCCGATCTCGGTCGCGCACCGGGCAGTTACGGGGCTCAGCGGAGCTAGGCAGGGCCCGGAACCCAGCGCGAACTCCAGGGGTGGTCTGGGGGCTGGCCGCACCCGCATCACGTGGGAGCTTGTTGAGAAGAAAGGTTCTCAGGGCCTCACCCCGGACCTGCAGAATCAGAATCCCCGGGGGCGGGTGTCGGACCCAGAAGCTGTGTTTGGGGCAAGCCCTCTGGTGCCTCTTATTTATGCTGGAGTTTGAGGATCCTGTCTAGACACTTGCTGATGAGTGTGTGACACCAAGACCCGGGCGCTCGTCCAAAACGGCAGGCCCTGGGACCTCACCGCGGGCCCCCTGAAAGAGAAACTGCGTTTTCACCAGGCCCCCCAGGGATCTGTCACAGGCCCAGGGGCTGGAGGTGGCCGAAGGACGCGTCCCAGGGCGTAGACGCTCAGGAAGCCTTGGGTGACTGGTTGTCGCACAGAAGGAGCACCCTCACCGGGCTGCCCAGATAGGTTCCACTTCCTGGGCCCACGCTGAGGCTCAGCGGGGATGCCCTGGGGCCTGACCTCACATCTGGTCCCTATGCTGTATTAGGGAGGCTGAGGGAGAGTCCCGCCTACCCGTCGCCGGTGGGGGTAGAAATCCGGTCCCCCTCCCCGGAGGGCTCTTTGGCCATGTCTGCCGCACCCCAGGCTGGGCGGACGGAGCAAAGGCCGTGTGCCCTGGATGCCGCCAGCAGGAAGGCCCTGGTGGGGAAGGTGCAATGTCTCTGGAAGGAAGCAGGATGAACGGCTAATATTCCTGGTCCCTGGGGAGGGAAGCAGGTGCTCCTGGGGGAGACACCAAGCCCGAGTTTTCACTGTCTGTTACTTTGTACCGCTTGGCTTTTGTACCAAGTACAACTGTCATCCGCCTGGTGGTTTTCTTTCCTTTTTTTTTTTTTTTTTTCAATATATGAAATTTATTGTCAAATTGGTTTCCATAGGACACCCAGTGCTCATCCCAAAAGGTGCCCTCCTCAGTACCCATCCCCCACCCTCCCGTCCCTCCCACCCCCCATCAACCCTCAGTTTGTTCTCCGTGGCCTGGCGGTTTTCAAAATGGGGTCCAAAGGGTCTCCCACACCCATGCCAGGGGTCCCCGACGTCTTCCCTTTTCCAGCTACGTCCCTGTGTGCGGCTGGTTTTCCTTCACAGACTTTAGCCAAACGGATCACAACAGACGGGGCGGTGGGTGGGGGAGGAGGG